GTATTTGTCACCCAAATCTATCATACTATAGTTTGGATTTGTCCGCACAAATAACAAACTCTGGCTAAACTAATGCTTCCATAATACTTGTTTAAACAAATGATATACATTCTCATCGAATGGTGCTAATTAAAAAGGAGCCACATCTGAAAGTGATGATAATCTACTAAGTAATTATGGACCATTTATATTCCTATAATTATATTCAAGAGGATGAGCCCAAAACGTCAATAAAGATTAATATTCACTGTTGTATATAAATTATTTGCAAAATATCAAGATTAGTTTTTATTTAAAGTTTATAAATGGTAATTGTTTTGTGTTTTCCGGCAAGTATATTTATAAGCTTAAAACATGAAGCTGGTTTTTCTTGGCATCACTCATATATTGACCAATTAAAATGTTTAAATGGACAGATGAGTAAAATTTTAATAGTAAGATAATGTTTTTTCTTAGCATATAAACAAAAGGTTTTTTAATAAACCTTTTTAGATACTTTTTTTATTTTTATATCCTATATATTTTGTAATGTCTGATATCGAAACTCAAGAAGATAATCCTCTAAGTACTAAATTTACCCTTGGGCAATCAATCTTTAATTTTTGCAATGTTTTGATGGGTAATATATTGAAACAGTGACTCTTGTCCTGTTTACTGAATTATAACTATTTTCAATTATTACGTAAAATTAACATTATATTTTAATGGCATATTTTAGGAGTCGGAATCCTTTCATTACCTCTCGCATTGAAATATACAGGATGGATTATTGGATTATCACTATTATTTTTCTGTATGGCAACTACAAATTACGCAGCAAAGTTATTGGTAAAATGTTTAAATTATAAAGAAGGAATTTATACATATCCTGACATAGGTATTTCATAACAATTTTTTTTCTTTAAGTCCCGACGTTTAAAAATATTTAATTTTTATAAATAAAATATACAATACATAATAGCTGCGATAGCCTTTGGAAAATTTGGGACATTTGCTATATTAGTTTTATTTTCATTAGAGCTAATCGCAATAGCAATTTCCTTGGTAATCCTTATTGGTGACTCTTTACAAATATTATTTCCTGATATATCTATTGTATATCTAAAAATTATTGCTTGGATGATATTAGTACCATTATCATTAATTGATATTAGATCTCTCTCATATTTTTCATTACTTGGAATATTATCAGCAATATTTTTAACATTTGTAGTAATAATTAATGGGTTTACAACATTTGAACAACCTGGAAGTTTATTCAATCCTATGAACACTGAATTATGGCCTACCGATTTGAACACTTTACCTCTGAGCTTTGGATTAATAATAGCCGGATTTTCAGGTTATTATTTTTGAATTTTTTACTACTGTATACAGTGCAATTAGTTTACTGATTGTAGAATTAATTGTTCAGGACATTCTATATTTCCTTCAATATATCTAAATATGAAAACACCTAGTAAATATTTGAAAGCAATAAATATCTCGTATACCATTAGTACTGTTGTTTATCTTTTAATAGCTGTGTGTGGCTACTTAATGTTTGGAAATCTGACAAAACCAGAGGTATGCTTAAATTACGTATTTTAATTTTAAATTTATTAATTAATTTATCATGAAAACTAATAAATACTATACTACAGATAACACAAAACATAATGTCTACACCTAATCAGTTGATACTACTAAATCAGTTTATAGTATGGCTCGTAGCGATTAATCCATTCACAAAGGTCGTGCTCACGTTAGACCCAATAAATTTATACCTAGAAATACATTACCTTTCAAAATTTCGCAAAGGAACTTACCCATGTTATAATTTTTTCTTATTCATACGTTTCTTGTCGCGTACATCAGTATCAACTGTGATTGTATTCATAGCAATCATGTATCCAGATTTTGATAGGGTAATAGAATTGTTAGGTAGTTTATTATTTTACACTATTTCCATAATTTTTCCGTGTATGTTCTATTTGAAATTATATAGTAGCAAATTAAGATGGTGGGAATGGACAATGAATTTATTGATTATTTTAGTGTGTACTTTATTATCAATTTTAGGAACTATTTGGGCGTTTTTGGCCGATTAAGTTATTTTCGCTATCGCAGAAGTTGCAATAGCTATAATAACAATGGTAGTTGTGGTGATTAAGATGATTATAGTCAGTTTTATTACTAGCCTTAAATTAAATATTTATCTATTATCACTAATTTTAAATTATTATGATATCTTGATTGTAATTTTTATCCGATTACACTATATTAAATTATTTGTAGAGACCTGATTGGTAAATATTTGTAGTTTTACTATTATAAAGTATACAAGTCAATGATCGGTCAAAGGTGTACTATATATCAAAGTTTTTACAGTATTTTTTATTTTTATTTATTTTTTTTTTTGCGCACTTAAGAATCGTCTAGCGGCGTCAAAAGTTGCGTCATTAATAATGCTAATGTCAAAATATACGCCACAGAAATCAAACCCGAGATAGTAAGAGTTCTGATTTCCAAACCTTTCAAAAACAAAAAAATATAGACATTATTTACTTATCTATAGATGGTATATTAATCAATGGATTCCATTCGATAGGCTAGATAAGATTAAATTATTGAAAAGGAGGAGGGCTCTACGATTTGCGGATGATATACGGAAAATTAAAGAAAACCATGCAGTGAAAACTATATAAAATCTTTGCTCTCAAGACTTTGATTTTCTGAACGGAAGTGAATTGTATCATTCTTTACTGTATAGTTATTAAAATGTATCAACTAACTCATGATATAAATTTATACCATTATTTGACATTAACGTTAAATGTTTGACGTTCAAAATATATAGCACGTACAGGTATGGGATGATAAAAAAGTGGGTTAACCAATTTTTTATACGTTTTTGTTGGTTTAAAAAGGCTTTAAAGCATCAGCGTCTTATGGTGGAATTTGGCTGAAACTAAAAAATACGTATTACCTTTGTTTGGTTAATTTCGTTTCGAATTTGGGTCAAAATCCCGAAAAATGGATCCCCGAAAGAACATAATGCCGACAAAATTAGCCGGCACTAGCTATAATGCTGGCCAATTTAGTCGGTTATGTTCTTTCGATAATCTGTTGTTCGGGATTAATGTTATAGTAAATAAGTAGTTGTGCAGCATTAGTTTAGCCAGAGTTTGTTATTTGTGCGGACAAATCCAAACTATAGTATGATAGATTTGGGTGACAAATAC